AGGCTAAAAGTAGAAAACATTCATTTAAAAGATGTTATTTGAATCATTTTGATCCTATATGGAAACTAAGACTCATAAAACAATAAAAACAAAATGAAAAACAAAATTAGGAACTTGCTATGGTTCATCCCAATGTGCTTTTAGATAAATATTTTAGGATTCTGTTATTTATAGTGCAGAACAAATTTTAGACTTTTTGGTGTTGTATAGCATTTGTTTTTCTGCTCTATGAATGAGGCACAGCTTACGCAATGCAAATAACCATTACATCCACAATAAATTACAGCTCTTACCCAAGCTGTCACAGGACAAGTGAATGTTAACATTCACTTGTATAGACTGATAAACTCACACTCCCAAATTAAATATAAATATTACCTGGGACATAAGTAAGGGAGAGGTGACTCTTGATAAAGTAGATCAGGATGATTCAAGAGAATGTGCTCAATTCAAGCAAAGCTGTCCCTAAGCGTCTAATGAAGCCCTACCTAGGTAATAGCAGGAAACTAAAGGCTTATCTGAGACAATAGCAGAAAACTATATTCTGCAACCAATAGAATCAATGCAATAGAAACATCAGAAAGAGGTGTATGTGTGTGTGTGTGTGTGTGTGTGTGTGTGTGTGTGTGTGTTTGTGTGTGTGTGTACGTACTAGGAAACAAGGTGGGGTGCTGAGTGGAAGGACGGCCCCAAACAAATACTACATGTTTACAACTCATTTGCAGCAAATCCTATGGAAGAGAAAATCCCATTATTTATATCCCTAAGCCTACATTTTGATTCTTTGGCCCCTCTCCCCCACAAATGAATATGATTCCACAGGCCTCCCTGCACTGTGTTGAAGGAGAGTAGCTGATTGTTGGGAAATTTATGATGTATAAGACATGATTCTAGTCCACAGGAAGTTAGTAAGCTATTTAGAAGGCAAGATACAACAAACAGCAAATAATCTTATCACTTAAATTGTGTTTTGACTTCAGTTTTGTTTTAGTTAACAGTCAAATGAGTGGGAAATGGTCACAGATGACAGTCAGATGAATGGGAGAGGAAGTAGACACCATCAGTGAGTTCTGAGAAGGACCTACTCAAGATTGGTGTAATTCTTCTGGAAAGGTGTTGTGTAAAAGGTGAATTGGGGTATCTCTTTGAAAGACACACTTAGATGGATAAAAGTCAAGTAGAAGAGAACTTATATTTTCCAGATGGGAGAAAGAAACAAGACATTTTTGTAAAGTGGGAAGGCTGGAGTCATATAAGAGAAGTGGAGGCAGAGAAGGCCAAAATTTTGTCAAACTGGGTCAAAACTGGAAAGATGTTCAACACTTAGGCTAAGGATTTTGAATCTTTGTTTCATAGCCACCGATGCCCTAAGGAATATTTCTGAGCAAAGTTTTTCTTACATTTCTGGCAATTGGGGTAAACAAAATAGTTGACACTTTAATTTTTCAGGTGATCTAAGAGGTTTAGCAGTATTGTGCACTATTTCATATATCCCTGCTAATCTGGGTAGATAAATAAAAAAATACTAAAAAGGAACTATAGAGCCTGACCATTCAAAATTATACTCTTGGGTTTTTAAATGTCTATCATATGAACTTACTAAATGCACCCAATGAATTGGCAACACACTCTGTAAGTAGGACTCTGTGCCAGAATGAGGTTCATAACTCAGGCTAGAGAAGAAAAGTACCTGGGAAAATAAAGTCCAAGTGTTTCCATTGACCTCAATTACCCAAATAATGTGTGCAATGTTACCCAGCCAAAATGTAACAAAGGTGATCTGTTTTCTACTAGCTCAAGTTTTGTGAGATGACAGTGTTTTTAGGTCAGCTTTTCTCCTTATCTTAGAGTTTTCAAGCCTGTAGAATTTTCTTTAAAGGGAGAAACAAAAAACCCAGAACAATTACCCCCATTCAATTACAAAATCCACTGCCATCAGCCTTTCCATCCCCGACTCTTTCTTTGGACAGTAGCGGAAACAGCAGGTTTTGCCTAGGTCCCAGCTGCCCTGTTTCACCAGCACAAATACTTGGCAGGAAGATAAGTAAGTGATTAAATCTGGGGTGGAGGCTAAAAAAATTAATGCTTGGGCAAATGATTTAACAGTGTCCTTGAGGTGCAGTGAGACAGCTGAAGCTGGATAGAAGTGGACTATACCAGTTCTCCTATCAAGATCCTTTTTTGTTTAAAGCAGCAGTGCGTAATGTAGGCTTAGACCTGACAGTGGTGGAAGCAGTTATTGCCAAAGTGTTAGCAAGACCTACCTTTATCTTGAGTGTGATATAATTAGAGATTCTAAACACAGTTAGAGCTGTGTGTTCTCTGTAAATACTGGAGTAACTAAGTTTTAATCTTTTATGTACATATAAATTTGATAAACAGAGATGTGGTAACCTTTTGAAAAAATGTCACAGGCGTTTGTAAGTCTAGTTTATAGCTAAATATTTTCCCTCCTCCCTAGCAAGTTAAGCTTGTTTAATACTGTGCCCTTCGGTTATAGACTACAGCAACATGGAAACCCTGTAGTTTTATGCTTCAGTAACTGCAGGCATTATGTGTTTCTCATTGTCTCCCTCAAGTCATGAATCCCACCTTTGGGAACTATGAAAACATACAAACAAACAAACACACTTTTTAAATGGCTTTGGGTGGTGTTTTTCAACTCCAGGAATCTAGAAATGCTGAGTTAAATAAAAGTAAACATACTGTTTCTCTCTTTTCTACTAATTAAAACTCATATGCAAGTTATGCAAGACTCTTAAATTAATTTAAAAATAAAAACTTACAGGGACAACTGAAGTGCCTTAGACCCTAAAATTCCTGCTGTAGAATATTCCCCAGAAAAAAGAGGGAAATAAATGAGGATAGGGTGGCCCCAAGCATATGGCATGGTACCTGGCACAGAGTTGGTACACAAGAGCTACTGTCTGAATTGAAACCATTTATAGGTCCAGGAAGAGGACATATAAGGGATCAGAAGAAGAAATTGGCTTGACTTGCCCGTTTGTGCCCCGGTGCTCCATATAGCAACATAGGACCAAAGTAACTGGTTACAAATGAGAAAAGCAAAAGAAAGAAAACTTTCATATGTCCTGGTGGAAACGAGACTGAAAACCTTTTCTCATTACATTTTAAAATCGAATTTGACTCTTTACAACTCAATTTTAAATTCAATTCAATTTTAAATTGAGGATTTTTATATTACCAAGCCATATTAGATCTACATATTTTAAGTAATTCAAGCCATAGGACTAAAATTGGCCACTGGGCAAAGCTATTGTGGTACAATGGTCAGAATGACATAAATAAATAGGTCATGCCACCTCCTTGATTTTTTTCTAAGGTTCCTAGGTAGAAAAAAAATCACTTGGCTTTATTTGATTTTTTTTCAAAGGCAGCCAGCAGCCATTTTGAATATAGCCAAAGTGTACCATAAGTTACCCCAAAGAGGTAACTTTTCTTTCCATAGAGGACAAAATTTAATGAATAATTTGTAATTAATCCTGATGACAAGCTTTAATCCCCTGGGAATGTTACCATTTCTAAAGTGCCTGTTATGAGTTAGTTGTTTCAATTTTATTGCCCCAATATCCCTAAGACAGGGGTCCTCAACCCCCAGGGCAGGGACCGTATAAGTCCATGACCTGTTAGAACTGGGCCGCAAAGCAAGAGGTAAACAACACAGCGGGCAAACGAGCTTTACCACCTGAGCTCCGCCTCCTGTCAGATCATTGGCAGCGTTTTGTGAATTGCACGTGTGAGGGATCTAGGATGCACACTCCTTATGAGAATCTAACTAATGCCTGATGATCTAAGATGGAACAGTCTTATTCTCCCTCTCTCCTCTATCCATGAAAGCATTGCCTTCTAGAAAACCGGTCACTGGTGACAAAAAGGCTGGAAACCACTGCCCTAAGATAAAGTGCCTCGGCCTAAACCATTGGTTTTCAAACTTTTTTATCTTTTATTTATTTATTTATTTTTTCTTTTTTGAGACATAGAGTCTTGCTCTGTCGCCCAGACTGGAGTGCAGTGGCACGATCTCGGCTTCACTGCAACCTCCACTTCCTGGGTTCAAGTGATTCACCAGTGTCAGCCTCCCGAGTAGCTGGGATTACAGGGGTGCACTACCACATCCGGCTAATTTTTGTATTTTTAGTAGAGATGGGGTTTTACCATGTTGGCCAGGGTGGTCTCAAACTCTCAACTTCAAATAATCTGCCTACCTCGGTCTCTCAAAATGCTGGGATTATAGGCAGGGACCACCGTACCCGGCCTCCTTAAGATTTCTCTATGACAGAAGTAAAAGAGAAAAAAGGACACTATGGTGGTTGGATGGTAAATGAAAGGAAAACAGATACTGGAATTGAAACCCTGAAATGTGAGTTTCCCTAACTGTCATATACTAACAATCACTTAATTTATCTGAGTCTTAGTATTCTCATTGCTATCATAAGAATTCTACTACTGCTTTCTCTCAGTACTCTCACAGAGTTGTTTTAAAGATAAAATGTGAAAATCGATGTAAAAGACTTGTTTAAGTTCCAAAGTGCTACCACAAATATTTGTTATTTTCACTAGGAATCAAATCAGAAAAGTAGCAACGATAAACAAAACAAGAATAACAAAAATATGCCAGTGTATGATCTGATCTCTAGTTTAAAAGCTGCGATTACGTAAAAGGAAATGCCAAACACTAAAAAGAAGTTTATTAGGACCTTCAGAAGCCCAGTCATCCTCAACATGAATGCACTAATCGTTTCTAGGATCGGAAAACTGCCAAATATTTTCTAATATTTTTTCCCAACTTAAAAAGTAAACATCCTATTTCTTCAAGAGGCCTTCTTCCATGAATGTTGAAACAAATGGTGAATAAATTACCATTTCGATACAATAATTTCTTGATTAGTAAACACTCTTAACAGCTTTTCATCTTAAGTAGTGCCGTTTTCTTTTATTCACAGAACACTGAAAACATTTTACCTTTAAAAATACAATTTTCTTATGATCACCTCTGGCTTTTGTTTGGTGCTCTGTCTGAAAACATATGTTTGACTTTATTAGTAATGTGTGCTCTGAAGCAATGAAATACAGAATGTACTAGGCAATAAATGGTAAACAAAATATTTTAGCTGGTAACTTCAGACCATTGTTACTCTTCATTAACTAATTGTAATAAAAAATAAAAATTAAGGTTGTTTCTACTTTATCACAAAAATTCTTATTGTAAGTATTTCCATATCAAGAGCAGCATTTCTAACAAATCAATATTTGTATGATATTAATATTCTCTTGAATGAAGTAAGTAAAGACTTTAAACTAAGAAACCTCTCAAGGCATGTTGGTCTCTAATTTTATTGACATTTTCCCTAAAAAATAAACGGTGTCACAGTTCAATATTTGGTATAAAAGGCAACAAACTTCCATTTGTCATTAGAACCATAAAGAATGGCTGCATTTCCCCCCCCCCCATCTATAAAACATTACTTTTCTTAGATTTGGTATTATCTCTGCTCAATAGAGTGAAATCTTTATTGATTTTTGTTGGTGAAGTTCTGTTTGTGTTTATTGATTTTGATGGAAATAACAAATTATTGTGTTGGAACAGCTAGTGTTTCACCCATTAAATAAAGTAAAGATATTCTCTGTGGTTTGCTTTTTTAATTCCTTAAATGCTTTGATAGAGAAAGAACAAGTTAGTGGTTGATGTGTGAAATAGAATACTTCAATAAAATCAATAATCAGAGGCATAGAACAGAATCAAAATGGTAAGATTTGATTGTCCATTATTATTTCAATGCCCGAGCATTTCTCAGCATTTCACTTGGAGTTATGTACAAAGGTGTATTGACTGGTGGGTATAAAATCCAAAGAATGTGCTAATATAACTTAGCATCCCCAATAATAACACAGATATGAATTTACAGGGAATTAAAGTTCTTTAGGGGACATACACGACTGGTTAAAAGCCCATGTCTTTACTATAATGACTACCTAGTTCAAATCTAGCTATATCACTTACTGGCTGTGTGACTTCAGAACATCACATGACTTCTCAGTGCCTCTGTTTCCTTAACTGTAAAAATGAAGTCTGTTATGAAGACTGAATCAATATTTTTAAAGCATTTAAAATGATGCAGGCACATGTTTAGAACTCTGCGTTGTGAAATTTAAAAATAAATTGAAAATATGTCTGCTGCAAGATGATACATGTTCCTTTGTTATTGGTAGGTGAGCATTGTATAAATTTCTCCATGTAGTCGCATATGGTCCATGAAAGATTCAGAAATACCTTATTTTTGTGACTTTGGTGACAGAACATTTGAGATGTGGAAACAAACCCCTGTAACAAGATGATGAAGTCACCTGTCATTGTGACACTATCTTCATGATATGGAGAAAATATGGAGTCTTTGAAATACACAAGATCTACCCAACTAAGTAGCCTTGAAGAAAGATAAACTGAGAAAGGTTAAGATGAAAGCATTGACCAAACAAAATCTGAGAAAGAAATAGAAGAAAAATTTATAGAAGATGGTGCTTATAAGTAAGTAGTTTCCATGATACAGGTTTGGTATAATATTGAGGATCTATTTCCTATCTTTTAATTTTATTATTATTATTAGTGGTCAAGGAATTTTACTAGTGTTTCTTAATCTATCTCTGTCATTTTCCTCAGCTTAAAAGAGAGATACGCTATATGAAAGCAGGGCAAACACCTGTGGAAAGGGGTTGATGGATTAGAAAAGTCAGCGTAATTCCATTAGCTAAAGGATTGGGGTTAATGTAGGGACTTGGTTGCTATCCGTTCAGCACCACCACTCTACAGGGGGAAATGAAAGAAAGACCAGGGAATCTTACAGAATCCAAACTTATTAAAACGCCTACCATGAATTGATTCCTTTGTGTTTTGCTTTTAAAAATAGAGGTAATCAAACATCAGATAGTCAACATGAGACTCTGAAAAATTATTAAAAGTTTAACACTCCCAAAGCCTGTTTGTATGTATTAACCTCATTTTATGTTTGTAAAAGAAGCAAGCCATTCTATCATAACACACATCAGGTGCGTTATGACTCTCTTCGACCATTTAGTTGACTCTTTGATGGCAGGGACTATGTCTCTATTATTTGTTTTTTGTTTTGAATGGAAGTGTCAGATGTGGTATATTTGGATTGTACCAATTTAGCTAATCGAAACTACATGTCTCAGAATTCTATTCCCTTCATAGTTTCAGGTTAGTTTGGGCCATGGGAGTCATTTTGCATGACTTATGTAAGGTGGAAGTGAATATTCTTTTCAAAGCCATATTCTTTTCACAGCAAGTCACTGTAGGGCACGAGGCACTCAAGCAGTCCACACAGGTTGTCACTGATATACCGGTACACATTCTGGGTGTGGATCGGGAGGTGAGCCCACTGTGCCTACATGTCCTGCTGGTCTCCTCTCTGTTTCTATGGCTCCTGAGTTACAGAGGGAGGGTACTGTGCTGATGGCCACCCCCATTATCAAGTCAGAGGCTCAAAAGCCATGAGACACCAACATGGGCTTCATTTCATCCTAGTGGGTTCTAGCTAATCCTCACTGGTTTCAATATGTTATCTTCCACTACTTCACACCCATATGCACTTCCAATTGCCTGCCCTACAACTTCAGATTCCAGTGCCAGGGATAGGGATGACAGCGTCACATCGACTATGTGACCAACTGTGTAAAATCAAATTTTTATGATATGTCGTGTATGTATATAGTCATGTGTCACTTAATAATGAGGATATATTCTGTCAAATGCATCATTAGGCAATTTTGATATTGTTTGAACATCACAGAGTGTATTTACAAAAACCTAGGTAGTATAAACTACCACACACCTAGGCTGGATGGTATAGCCTATTGCTCCTACGCTTCAAGCCTGTAGAGCATGTGACTGCACTAATACTGCACACAATTGTAACACAATGGTATTTGTGTTATCTAAACATAGAAAACGTACAGTAAAAAATGTGCTTTTAGAATCTTATGAGATCACCATCATGTGTGCACTCCATTGTTGAACAAGCTGTCATTGTGTAGCACATAAGCATACACACACATATGTATGTATACACACATACATACAATACAGGTTTATTGTAAGCCCTTATATATTTATATATAATACATAAATATTTCACTATATTATATATACACATCATTTTGGACTTCTCCTTCTCACCTGCTATATATATATATATATATATATTATAATATATATATATATATTATAATATATATATATATAATCTCAGCTACTTGGGAAGCTCAGGCTTGAAGCTGGAGTGTGGAGGTTGCAGTGAACTGAAATCGTGCCACTGCACACTAGTCTGGGCAATAGAGCAAGA